GTTGAAACCCGAAAAGAGGCTTATATCTTGGAAGCTTTAGCTAAGAAGTGAATACAAAAAACCTGGAACATCGCCAAGCTAAAGAGATACTTCAACTGAAAAAGGGGGAAGGATCAAATTATTACCTTTATTTATGTAATAATTTTATATATAAATACACAATGAATTTTTCTCCATTATCATATCAATTGCACTTGTGTCCTTTATATCTCTTTTAGGAAACATGGGACGAAAAACTATGTATATTATATCGCAGCTGGCGCACCACTTTGTTAGGGTCTATACACTCCAAGAGCATAGGTGACAGAGCCCAGGAGACGTCCATGTCAATCCAGGCTGAAACCCGAGGGCAATGATGGGGGCCTAACTCTTGGTCGGGGACGGTCCTCTATATCGCATAGAAGTTTCCTGGCTTCCATCAAATAGGGTGGATAATTGCAAAGTTCACTTTACCAAACCTTGGCAACTCCAATAAAAGGAATATGTTGAGGTGAAATAAGAAGGGCGTGCCTAGCAAATAGAAAAAAATTTATACAAAAATAGTAAGCGTTATCAAAACATGCAAAAATTGTGAAACAAAGCATTCTTTAATTTACAAAGCGAAAGATAATTATAAATTATAATGAAATATTTTAGGGATTAAGTCATAATTCATCATCGGAGAGCCTGAATTTCTGGAACGACAGCTCCATCTAATCTACAAAATACTTGAAAGCGACGTCTTTTAGAATTCAACCAGAAAATATAAGAGTTATTTATCCAAATCGTCAGCTTATCTTGAAAAATCTTGAATTCACACAAAGTCCTATTTTGCCTCCTCAAGCTCTGTTTCAGAAACCAAGACAGAAAATACAGAGTTTTGAAATAAAAGTTTGCCTCTTCAAGCAAGACATCACGTTTAGATACCCGACCATCCAGTTCTGTAGGAGTTCCATGCAAGTTTACCTTATCCGAGAAGGGAGAGATTTGGTCTAGCCCCCGGAGAAGCCTAAATGACTCTTCTTGAAAGCAAAGAACTTCCAACTTTATAAGATTGTATCACGTTTGCAAAGATTCAATCTCTTGAGGTAAAATTCTTGGGGTCACGAGTTCCCCACGACAATCCCTGATTGAGGTCATGATGGAGGCTACCCGCAACATATAGAAGGTAGACTCCTCTAATAACCTCGACTTTCCTATTTTGTAGACCTTGTGCACATAAGCATAATGGTCTACAATTATAGACGCCTTTAACTTAGAGATAAATCAAGGCATATGACTGTCGAAAAAATGGGGTAGCTGAAGGGTTATGGTCCCATTATTATCAGTCAATTGAATCATAGGAGTTTTTCCAGAGAGCTTAGGTCTTTTAAGCGAGCTTCCCCACAAATGAGTTCTTTGTTGTGATTTCTCTTAGCCCCGGCTAAAGCAGCGGGCCTATTATTGTTATTCTTACTTCTATGCTTATAGAAAGGCTGAGTCAATCCCAAGGGAACTCCCCTTGCTTCAACCAACAAAGATCCACCCTCTTCTACAGTCACAATGGGTATCTCCACCGACACATCAATCGGAGAAGGCGTAGATTAGGCTAGAAGCGTGGGAACTTTCTCTCCCTCACTCTTGATATCAAAAGAAAACAAAAAGATTCAGGAAGCAAGTGTAACGCAACTTAACAGAAAAATATACAACAGAGTCAAATCAGGTACCAAAGAGTTTCTTCCTATCTTCAACAATAATCACATCCGCGAAGTCCCGACATCTTATTCAACCATTAGAAAACAAAATTAAAGTAGTATTTATATCCTTCTCATTGGCGATAAAGGGGTCTGTATGAGATAGACTAAAAGATAACTTTCTTCTCAAAGTGGTCAGGTGACCAAATCCTCAAGACTCTTTTCGTGCAAGTAGCAGGCCCCGAAGCATAAGTTAAAAAGTCGTAGAAATCTTAGTGAGCCACGGGGGGAAAGGGAGTTATACAGAGTACGGTATTTTTAGGAAAACTAAGGTACGGGTATGTTAGTATAATTTTTTTAAACACAATTATAAAAATAACAAAAGAGTTATATTGTTTAAATAACAACAAAACATTAAAATTGAAAAACAATTTGCTTAAAAAAAGTTAATATTTACGTAATAACATAAATAAATTACACTTAAAAGGTATCATGAAATCATGGTTGAATATCAATATTTTCCTCTCCAATATCTTTAAAAAGAGCGGCTTCTAGTTCAGGTTCATCGAGACAAACACTAGCAACTTCAAAAATACCAACTCCATCAAAATAAATCTCATTCATCTCCACCAATATCCCACATTTTTGTAACTCCATCATTATAAACCTTACTATTTCTCGAGAGAAGATGGAGATTTGTATGAACACAAATTAAATCCTTAGCTCTCTTTGGATTGAGTCTATTTCTTTTCAATGGGTAAATAAATCTATATTTACTCCAATTTTTCTCAGCAGAAGATGAAAAACTTGATTGTGAAAGAATTTTTTTATTTATAAATAGAATAATTTACCTCATTTTTATTCAGTCAAAAAAAGTCAAAATTATACCATCCGAAAAAATATATAAAAAGTTGGGCACGTAGTACCAAATGTGTACCGGTTGGTGTACCAACTTAAATTAAAAAAAAAAACAAAAAAAATTGGTACAACTTTAATGTGTACCATACACATACCGTACGAGTAGCAATACTCGATGCGTATCTGGTACTGATACTTTATCTAAAGTGGAGTAACCATGCTTTACAAATAACCGTGGAAAGTTTTTTTTTTTAAATATATAAAATTGATCTTCACCTAATTTTTTTACTTTTGTTAAAATGCAATAAACAACACAAAACAAAACAAAAATTCTTTTTTCAGTACAATCCTCAATTTTAAAAGGCAAATTTAACAACATAAAGTTTTGCATAGTGTGGAATTCAAACCCACCCCTTTTGGTTAAAATACAATTGCATTTGCCACTCATCCATCACCTTCCTTTGTTTAATATATGCACCAAAATTTATATATTTAAAACTTGATGTTTAAAATTGATTTTTACAACTTCTTTTTCCTCTCTTCAATACTATTTCTTTGTTCTTCCTCTCTTCAATACCATTACATTCTTCCTCTTCTTATTATTAGGGGTAATAAAACTTATTTGAGTTGCTGAAACCAAATGATAAGATCAATAATTCTTTTCATCTATTACGGTTGGATTTGTTGAATTTGTTGTTAGAATCAATAAGAGAAATTTTTGGATTTGCAAATGTCTGTTCTATCTCTACACTTTAATTTTGGGTTGCTTATATGAAGGTTGGGTTGCTTCTATGGTGGTGGATTTTTTTGTACAGTGATAGTATTTGATCTTGATAGAAGTGTGACAAATTATTTTTATGAAAAGAGAAAATAAGGAATAATTTTAGGTTTGAAAAAATTCAGGGTTTGTGTGATGGTTAGGGATGAAGATATGAATACAAACTCAAAATTTTGGATTAAATATTCTTTTCATCTTTATAAATTTGCGCGTTTTTGGTTTTAGTCCTTTTAACCTATTTTTTGTTTGTTTTAGTCCCTAATTCCGGATTTGAATTCATATCTTCATGCCTAACCTTCATACAACCCTATAATTTTTTCAGATCGACGAGAACATGTGTTTGTTTATGAGGCATTTATGTGTGCTTATTTATTGCTCCATCATTTCAAACCATAATTATTTTTAGTATTTTGATTATGTAACTTTATTATTTACTATTTCTCTCTCAATCTTCACCATTGTCTTCCATTAAAGCTTCATATTCCTGTTTGTTTTTGAAGTAAGGTTTGAATTCTTAGTTTCTCAAAGTACCGATGTGATTTTTATGCATGCATGGTGGTGAAGCATTTTCTAAAACAAATATATGCATGTATATATTTTTATGCAAGTGCACTCATGCATTTTATATATGGCATAATCATTATCATCCTCAAGTTTCATGAACATTAATTAGTGTGAACAAGAGTTGCAAGTGCATGATCTTTCTCAAGAATAAGAAATGAACAAATGAGTAAATATTTCATTTATGTCATATATAAATTTGTTGCAATAAATTCAACAAATAAGTTGAATGGTCTAGTGGTTAAGAACTATGTTGTTGATGCAATGGTCATCGGTCCAATTTCTTTTTACACTATTTTTAAAATTTTTCATTTTAAGATTTAGCATTAAAGATAAACACAATAATAAAAAAAGATGACAAGAGGGAATACAATAATATCATTACATAGGTTTTATTTTTAAAAAGCTACAGATTAAATCCTTCTATTACAAGTAAAAGCTGAACGACCCATGGTGGACTAAAACTTTGAGGATTTAACCCGTCACCCTCTTCCCTCCTTCCACTTAGATCTAACGCCCTCTTAATTATAAAAAAATTATCTTGTTACTTTTCAAAAAATTTCAAAATTTCAAAATCAGAAATTTCTGATATTCTATGTATTTTTTTATCTGAAATTTTGAAAATTTCAAAAATATAAATTTTTTTACTTGTTTCAAATATTTTCAAGGATAATTTTAAAATTATAAAAATTTGGAGGATGCCAAATATAATTTTGCAAATGGCAGATTAAATTCTCCAAAACTTCATTGAACCATTGCCACCCATCTCGATACAATACTTGCGGTTAATCATATCATGTTACTGATATTCAAAAGTAGCATACTATGCATCTATTGTACCAACTATCCATTGGTTAGGATTTCCAAATTTGGAAGAGATACTTTCATTCATTCTTCTTTCGAGTAAATTGTTGTTTTTGTACTTGATTCAGCATTTGGACATGAAGATTATTGTGGGAGACAATCTAGATCAAAATAGATTGTAGATTACATTATGAATGCTACGTGAACTTATTGTACTGTTTTTATTGGTTTTTAATCTTATTTTCACATTTCTATGTTTTCTTCTTAGGTGCATATATGATGAATGCATATAAGGATTTGACCAAGCTACTTAAAATGTGAACTAATTTCACTTGAAATTTAACAATCTACTTGAAGTTTTGCTGAATTATAAGTTGAGCCTCTTCAACTAGTCTTTTTATCACTTCACTAGCATGCAAAATTTCCTTGATGAGACCAACACCTTCACCAGCATACATACACATACTCTCAAGATCTCCTGTAGTTGTCATGTTTGGGACTGTACCGGCAAAACGGCGTATATCTTTCTCCTGGTGGATGACAATAAAGTATAATCAAATACAGTAGACTACAAAGATGGTTCCATTAATTAAATAAATGCAAACTGAAACTGTACCACGCCGTGAATTGTTGAATGGCCAATGACAGATTGGTTTGCTTCACTTTCATGGGATGGAAGGGATTTCCACTCCTTGAAGAAGGGTGTCTGCAGTACACGATGAGGTGCATCGGGCCATCTTGCCCTGCCAAATACGTCTGTGTACTCAGTTTCATCGAGTTCAACTAACTTTCTTTTGTATATAGGATGAGCATAGCTTTCCTCAGTTGCGAGAAACCTGGAAGCAAATATTCAAATTGAGTTTATCTAGACATGGTCCCAACCCAATCAAGTGAATCCAATCTTAATTTCAATACCTAGTGCCTAGACAGACGCCTTGAGCACCAAGTGCTAGAGCAGCGACATAACCACGAGCATCTACAATAGCTCCAGCTGCGATAACAGGTATATCGCGGTCGCCAACAAGATCGACCACCCTCGGCACCAATGAAATTAAACTATCCTGCAATAAAATGAAGGGAGGAATACTACCATCTGTTATCAACAGCATACAGAAATTGAAAGGAATAGACATTGAATACTATAATCCGAAACATATGTTGTAGTCAAGCTGTAGGTATTGTGTAAGTCATTAACAACATTACTCAAGAATAGTAAAAACCACAAGAAAGTAACTAATGAATAACAAAATATCAGAAATTTTTCTACCATCTTGTGCTAGAATTGACACAATAAATTAACAACGATTCTTATTTATCACAACTAAGATAGCTATATGTACCTATGTAGCATTAACACTACAAGTTAAAAGTCTGCCCGAATGTCCAACACACTGACACATGTGCTTACATGCAATCTTTTTCATATAATCAGTGTCCATGTGTCGGTGTGTTAGTGTCATGTACAATATTTGTGTCACTATAAGTGATTTATGGATTTATATTTAAAAACATAGGCATACATCAAAACCATGACAAACATGCACACCTGACCAATAACATGACCACCAGCTTCACGTCCTTGTACGATGATTCCATCGGCACCAGCATCAATTGCCAGTTTTGCACTTTCGACACTCCCAACCTATAACAGAATAACAAAACACAGTAAAGATCTGATTCCAAACAGAATAAAAAAAATATATAAAAAAACTATATGCAACATTAACCTAAAGGAAGACTAAAATTAGAAATGGTTCAAATGGGGCATAAGAAAAAACTGACTTGTGGAACAATTTTGACCCCAGCTGAATGAACCTTGGCAACCAATTCAGGTGTACAATCACCCCAGTAAGTTTGCAAGACTGCGACTTTTTCATCAAGAATTGCCTTCAAATTCTCCTCGTGAGGAAAAGCGAGAACCACACCAACCCCAAAGGGTTTATCAGTTAATGTTCTGGTTTTCTTTATGAGCTCCCTCAAGTAATCCGGGGATTCCTGATAGAAGAAAAAACTAAATCAATTATAATACAACAAAATCAGAGTGTTGAAATGATAAGGAAATTACCCAATCAGGAGCTCTGAGAAGGCCAAGAGCACCAGCATTGGCAACAGCAGCAACAAGTTGGGGACCAGAGATATCAGGACCTAATGGTGCCTGAACTATGCCATATTCGAAACCTAATATTCCTCTCCAACCCATGTTGAAAGCTTCTCTCAGTCTCTCTCTAGGTGTTGTTTGAAAATTGGATGTAGGATGATGGTATTTTACACGTTTGTGCCTTTAAATATACTTGTTGGCAACTAGTAAGCGAATACGTGCTTGTGTTCTTCTTCTACTCTGAACCTGACATGTTTTAAGATTACACAGTCCTGTTAGGTTATGTTATGTCCTACCCTAAATAACACCTGTGCGATAAGATTTAACTGATTTAACTTTTCTTTAATTTTTATGCAATAATACATAGTCATTTGATCATAAGGGTTGGATCTTAATTATTTATAAAATACTACAAACTCATGAATGTCATGAATTAGAAATGTAAAATTCTTTAAAATGAATAAGCACTTAACCACTAATCTCCTTTTATGTTTTTGCTAACAATAATAACTATTTTGTGTGGCAATAGTAACTTCTTCTATATTGACGGTGGAATCATCATAAGAGATTTAAAAGAGTGAAATGGATAAAGTTTTTGGCATTATTCGAGAGACCGTTTTAAAATTAGGCTTCAAATTAAATATGCATAAAATAGTAATATTTTAGCCTACATGTAATGATAGCTTTGTAAGGAGTTGTTTTCTTCAGACTTTTGGAGGCTGGTGTTGGAGATGAAGTTGTTTGGAGGGACCGTTGGTCGAGATAAAGACTTTATTAAGGGGTTGTTCATGAAGAGAGTGAATAGGGTTGTTGAGCATATGCATCTTCTGCCACAATTAAGAAATCCTCATACTGAGTTTCTTCTACTTCATTTTTTACATAAGTATCGTCCAACTCAACTTTGCCCTTAGAACGTGTCAACTTCATCATATGGAGAAAGAAACTATTTGGTTTGATAAAGAGTTACAAAGGACAATTGAAGATATCGTGATTTGTTAAGGTCCTTTCTTCGGGGACCTTTAATAGAGAGTGGCTTCTTTACCTGTTATAGTTTGGGGATTGGGCTTGCTCTCAGCTGTGGAGGTTGCCTCATACGCATTTGTGACTTCTAGGGGCCCAATCTTGGATGTTACAAAATCACATATTAAGAGACAGTGGGATATATGGTATTGACCTTGATTTCGACATAGCTTTGGATGATTTTAGTGTTATAATTCCATATTTTGACCTTAGTAATTTTATAAGAAAGAACACTATCCCTCCTAAAGCACAAAACGTTTTGGAGAACACCATTTTTAATAAAAGTGTTTAGGACATGTATGTAAAGTTTGACATGACCACAAGGAAGAAAATAATTTTTTCTTGTTTGCAAGCAACATATGCTCATAATTTCTCCTTGTTATCTCTATTGACGGTTTACGCTAACATATATTCTCGGTAGAGTACCGCACCATCTTGAAATACCGACTTATGATTCTCTTATTTCCTGTTGATGAGGTTTGCTTTGTTTGCCGCAAGACGTCTTTGGATACATTTGGGAACACAGTATTCTTTATACGGAGCTTCCATGATTCAAATACTGACATGACTTTGTTAGAGATGTCTTATTTAATATATTTAGGCGTGCAGGGTATTTGTGAAGAAAGGGTCGTCTGTAAATTTCTTGACTGAACCATACGAAGGGAGATCAACTCTTAGTCCCGTAGAAGTTTTGGTATATGGATGGGTAGAAGGAAAACATGCATGTGTAGACTTGATTGAAGTCTCGATATTAGTAGGACTAAGGACTAGAGGTTTTACTTTAGGGCAAACAATTCTCATAGCCACTTTAAATAAAGTAACTAAACAAGAGAAATAGTGTTCCGACAATCAATATACTTTTATATTATTCATTTTTGATATTATGATTTTTTAATATCGAAAGCACCGAATTTTTTATAAATAGTGCAAAGGCTCATACATAACAATGTTGTATTATCTAAGACAGTGAATATAATTTTTAAAAAGAGTAGCGACGCAACTTATTAATAATCTTAATTACTTTTCAATTTCAATACAATATTAATAATAAGTATTTATTACCATATCTTCTTTCAACTCAAGAAGTTATTGTAAAGTCATATTTTTCATACAAAACTAATTAAAATTTTCAATTGGTGTAAAATACTTATTTGGGATGGAGGGAGTAGTAGATACCGAAATATTCCCACTCACTTAAACTTTACTTTCTTAAGTGACGAGGACAATCCAAATACCCGTGAATGCGATAATACACTGTGTGTTACTATTACACTCCGAAATTGCGCGCACATTGTCATTCTAATGCTCTGCAATCATTTTCATCATCCTCAAAATCCACTCTTTCTATCTTCCAACCCTTCATTCTCAATCCCCCTTCCATGCTGTGATAATTTTCTTATTCTTTCTCTCCATAGCATCTCTCTGCTTCACACTTCACAAAACCAAATTCACTTTATCGTTTTCTATTCAGATTTCAATCCAAAACAATCATGGCGGAAGGTATTTACTTCCATCTCTACCTCTATTGTTGAATTTCAAATCTGGATTGTTCTAATATCTAACTGTTTCGTGTGTTTTTTCTCTTTAAGCTTTGTGCGTTATGCTTCAACTCAACTTTACATTTATATGTCGATTCTCTTCTTGATGTCTATTCCTTTTGCCTTTGATTTACAGGAGGAGATAACGGATCTCTAAAATCTTCGCCATTGACACCATATGAAGAAGCACTGGAAGCCCTGTCATCTTTGATTACTAAACGTACTCGGGTTGGTGATGTCAACATGGAGGAGCGATTCAGCGTGCTATTTCAGTATTTAAAGGTACGTTAGCTGTTTGTGAATTTTCTTTCAATATATTTGGTCACTTTGTTGGAAAAATGTTTACTTGTTTGGTGATGTTATTAATGGCGTGTTTGATTCGAAAGATGCTTGAGTTGGAGGAGGCAATTTCAAAATTGAAGATTATTCATGTTGCTGGTACTAAAGGGAAGGTACTTTCATTAATTTATAGACAATTACTTAAAAGGGAAAAGTGAAACCATGTTGAAAGTTCGCGAATGTATTAGTTAAATTTGCCAAGACTTTAAAATATAATTGCTGCTTTTGAAAATTAACATAATGTATGTATGTTATGAATTTATGTTCCATACTGTTCAATGAGAATTTCAAACTTATTGCAATAATTGACGTGGTTGTTTTGTGGTCTCTTAAAGGGTGTAGTGACCTTGGAATTTCAAGTTTCATGTATTTTTACTCTTGCATCTGTTATGATATGTATTTTGTTTCTGCATCTTGCTTCCGTAGGGATCTACATGCACCTTCACAGAATCTATATTACGCAACTGTGGTTTTCGCACTGGGCTTTTCACTTCTCCTCATCTAATTGATATACGAGAAAGATTTCGTTTAGATGGGTGAGTGTCTCATATGTATTCATTGTCTTTATTTCCATTATTACTTATTCATTGACTTTTTATGATCTCAATCTCTCTTTTACTTTGTCTTGGGTCATAGAATTGATCATGAATTCTGATTAACCTCTTAATATTGAAATGGTTTTTAACAAATTAATCTCTCCTGTCAGAAGCTATTCATAGCAATAGCTTGTATATACAAGTATAGTAGCTTATTTGTGTGCTTAGCTGTAGAATTAGTTTTAATAACTGTTATTATAGTTGCTGAGTGAGCTAGCACATCCAGCTATATGCCTTTACAACTGAATAACATAGAGCCACTGAAGCTATCTCTTGTGAAGAAAGAACAAGCATCAATCTGAGTTGCAGCAAACACCTTTGATCTGAGTTGTACAACATGAAGTAAGGAGGTTGAACAATTTCAGAACTCTTACTTCGCCTTAAGGCTATTATTCATTCCCTAACTCCAATGCCATTCTTGAAGGTCTTGATGAAGACTATGATCCTTTTCATCACTATGATTCATGATAGAATGGGTCCTATTCTGTAACTGACATAGGAGCACTTCTTCTGGCTAAAGAAGCTCGGTTAGGGAAGTTCACTAATCTACTGATTCAGATAAATCAGTATTCAGATGCATTCTGTAAATGTTGCAAAAGTTTCTTCTTACCCTTTTGTAAGCTTCCTGTCAGTCCTTCGTTTCTTGAGTTGACTTTGAGCACCTTCCCTATGTGTTTTCTTTCTCTCCTAATCTGATTATTTTGAGATCTTCTCAATTGAGCTCACATAACTGTATCAGTGAGCAGCAATTGCAAGTTGAAAAACATGGAGATGACTTTGTTCTAGATCTGAAGTTGTATAGATTAAAAGCCGTGGCCTAACAATATGATACATTAACATAAGTGTGTCAACCTCAGTATCAGAAGTGCGTTTACTTGATGAGCTGTGAAGAGGTACTTTGTTTTCTAAAAGGATCTTATTTAATGGTTTATCTTTGCAAGTTGCAACCTGCTAAATCCTGTGAGCTTCTTACTAAGCAAGCCTTGGTTCTGTGATCTACAATCCAAACATAAGTGTTTGATTTATTTGAGCTAATACCATCACCTTGACTATGGGAGGGAGGGGGCAAGAATAATAGCCTGTGTATATTAGTGTAGTAGGTTATGTGTATTCTTAGCTGTACAGTTAGCTATGTCAACGGTTATTGCAATTGCTAAGTCAGCACATTCAGTTATTCTGCTATAGAAAAATGTAAGAGGTTGTGAAGCTCTCTCACCATATAAATAATACCTCAAATCAATGAATTGTTTTCACTTATATCATTGATTTTGTCCTTCTACTGTTTTAACAAATTTCATGGGCTTACTAAAGTACATCAAATGCCGCCTTATAGTTCATCTTTTGCAGCATAGCTACTATGCTATGATTCATTAGCATTACCCTTGTTACTTCTGCAGTGTGGAAATCTGTGAAGAGAAATTTTTAGCATATTTCTGGTGGTGTTATGATAGACTAAAGGTATATTTTGTGAATAAATGTGTCATTATATTTGTTTTACTGGTAGAAGTTTTGGTTAGTTGTAAAACCTGTTTTTTTTTTTTTCCTTTTTTATTTGAACTTGAACCAAATCGCATTCCTAATTTGAACTGCCGGTATCTTTCTCACAACA